TACAACCTCGGCTCACTGCAAGCTCCACCTCCCAGGTTCATGCCATTCTCCCGCCTCAGCCTCCCAAGTAGCTGGGACTACAGGTGCCCGCCACCACGCCTGGCTAATTTTTTGTATTTTAAGTAGAGACGGGGTTTCACCATTCACAGGATGGTCTCAATCTCCTGACTTCGTGATCCACCCGCCTCGGCCTCCCAAAGTGCTGGGATTACAGGTGTGAGCCACCACGCCTGGCCAATACAAATTATTTTTAAAGAACAGTCTGTTATTGAAGAGTACAAAATCCAGCTTCCCCACTGTTTAGCAGTGCATGTTGGGATGTTTATTTTTTTTCTCTGAGCCTCAGTTTCTATCTGTGAAATGGGATAATGATACCTATCTCCAGTGGAAGTAGTAAGGATTAGGCAAGATTATTTACAGGCCAGGCACAATGGCTCATGCCTATAATCCCAGCACTTTGGAGGGCCAAAATGGGAGGATCACTTGAGCCCAGGAGTTTGAGACCAGCCTGGGCAACATAACAAGGCCCCATCACTAGAAAAAATTAAAAAATAAAAAATTAGCCTCTCATGATGGCATGCACCTGTAGTCCCAGCTACTTGGGAGGCCAAGGCAGGATCACTTAGGCCCAGGAGTTCAAGGTTGGCACTGAGTTATGATCATGCCACTGTACTTCAGTCTGGGCAACATAGTGAGACCCTGTCTCAAAAAAATAAAATAGGTTATTTACATAAAATGCTCAGCACTGTACATCACATATATTGGGCCCAGAGTAAATACTCACTGATGGGCCTTCCCCTAGCATGGAAAGATTGTCAGCACCAAGTTTTCCCTGACCATTGCAACCTTTCCCCTTCCTGACTTCAGACGGACTTACACAATGGTCCCTTGCATGCAAGAAGTCTAAGAGCTCCTCTGTGCAATCCTCTTGTGTACGTGATCGAGAGGATACACGCTCATCACAGAGCTCTAGCCGCTCCCGGGCCTTTACACATTTCTCCAACTGCTCGCATTGCTCTCTCACTGTTGTTAGGGGATCCTGATGTAGAAATAGAAAAACAACAAAATGGGGATTTTTAGCGGAGACCCACCAAACACATATGCTTTGATTAACACAACCACCAAACCAAGGTGCTGCCTCTGAATTACCGTGCAGAAGGCCAGCTGGCAGAGCCACACTGCCGCCAGAAATGGCAGAATGCGGTCTCCCATTCAATTCTGATGCTAAGTAGTAGGGAAAAGTTTCACATTCCTGCCTTCCAAGGTTGCCAGTATGCACTGAAAGCCTCAGTCCTATCTGAAAAACAAGGTGGTAAAGGAAACCTGGCCAAACTTGAAACAGATCTATAGGAGGCCTTACTTGTTAACACGGCATTTTGGAATATGTCATATCTGAAATTTCAAATCCCCTTGTCTCAGAACCAGGCCTATGCATCCCAGCTGCCCAGCTAGAAAGGCAATGCTAACATAGAGAAGGACTATCTAACAAAGGTTCCCTCAGAGTTCTTTTTTTTTTTTTTAAGATGGAATTTCGCTTTTGTTGCCCAGGCTGGAGTGCAATGGCACGATCTCGGCTCACCGTAACCTTCGCCTCCTGGGTTCAAGCAATTCTCCTGCCTCAGCCTCTCGAGTAGCTGGGATTTCAGGCATGTGCCACCATGCCCAGCTAATTTTGTATTTTTAGTAGAGACGGGGTTTCTCCACATTGTTCAGGTTTGGTCTTGAACGCCCGACCTCAGGCAATCCGCCTGCCTCGGCCTCCCAAAGTGCTGGGATTACAGGCATGAGCCACGATGCCTGGCCCAAAGTTCTTTATTAAACCACAAATAGCAGATGATTGAGTGCCAGGCCCTCAAGATGCCGTCTGCTCCCTGACCACAACTGAAGAAGCCCCAAACCCAGAATAGACTTAGCTTCCAAGGCTCACACCCCAAACACTCCAATGCACGGGAAGTATCAAAGCTTATTCCACCCCCATTATCTACAAGGTATCAAGTAAAGACTCCTTAAAATGCCCTTAGAGTTTCATGAGGCTCAAACCCTGCTTTTACTGAGATGTTTCCAAACCTGAGACAGTTCTTACCACTAATTCCTCCTCTTCCTCTTCCTCCTACAAAAGGAAAACAAAATTAATGTTAGCAGCAATTTTATGACATATTTATTCCTGATCATACTGATGTAATTACTGAAGATAGACATTGACACTGCTATTAATGATGTTATTTTGTTTTCTGTGTTCTATGATGTTTTTACATTTTAGAGGCCTTGCTAATCCTGGAGCTAATCCTGCTCTTCCAGGGCTAGCTAATTTTTAGACAGCAAACTTGCCTGCGAGCATACCTTTCATATGCAACCTAACTATCCAAAGCGCTTGTAGCCAACTGCCTCCTTTATCTTTTGTTTTGTTTAAGAGACAGGGTCTTGCTCTGTCACCCAGGCTGTAGTGCAGTGGTGCCATCATAGCTCACTGCAGCCACAAACTCCTGGGCTCAAGTGATCCTCCTGCCTCAGTCTTTTAAGTAGTTAGGACTATAAGCACACACCACATGCCCGGCTAACTTAAACATTTTTTTTTAGTCGAGACAGGGTCTCATTATGTTGCCTAGGCCGCTCTCAAACTCTTGGGCTCAATCAATCCTCCTACCTCGGCCTCCCAAAGTGGTGGGATTATAGGCATTAGCCACTCGGCCTGGCCCTGCCTCCTTTATCTAAGTTTCATACACTAAGCTCCTGTTTCCCCTTCTCTAAATCACCCCAGGGACAAATATAGGACAACTAGGAACCAGCCCTATAAGCCAGAGCCCAACGAAATTATTCAAACCATCCAATCCTAAATTTGAGCAAGTGTACCTACCCTGCCCACTAATTCCTTCCCATAGAAACCAAGGTGCTGAGCCATGCTTCCTTCCCCTCACACCTTCTGCCTCCTGACTAGCTCGGACACTTCTCCATACAGCCCTGCATTTTTTTGTGTGGTATATCCCTCTTTCGGGAACTTTAAGTAATAATAAACTCTTCTTTCAAAGGCAGTTGACTGCAGGTCTGTCACCTTACCATACTTGGTTAAAAGGAATCCCAGGTTCATTTCAAGACAGAGACACCATCTCACTTTCATTAACAAGAACCTAAGTGTGCTTAATACTCTCCAGTTTACAAAGCACCTTCATATCTAATATGATTTAATTAATCACAACAGTCCCTTAAGGAAGTAATCCCAGTTTAGAGATAATAAACAGTAATTAGACATCTTCTGATACAGATTCAAGCTGCCAGATGTTCACATGGGGCCTACACAATCTAAAATATTTATCCCAGTATTGCTACAAATAGCTAAATTTAGTCCTTACATCCCAAATCAAGTTAGGAGGAAAACCCATTGTTTTCTAGACTATGAAAAAAAAAAAAAAAAGAATTATGGGTTCCTCATAGAATACCCTAGTTTATTTTATTATTATTATTATTTTTTGAGACAGAGTCTTGCTCTGTCACCCAGGCTGCAGTGGCACGATCTCGGCTCATTGCAAGCTCTGCCTCTCTGGTTCACGCCATTCTCCTGCCTCTGCCTCCCAAGTAGCTGGGACGGCTAATTTTTTGTATTTTTAGTAGAGACGGGGTTTCACCGTGTTAGCCAGGATGGTCTGGATCTCCTGATCTCGTGATCCGCCTGCCTTGGCCTCCCAAAGTGCTGGATTACAGGCCTGAGTCACCGCGCCCGGCCAGGATACCCTAGCTTAAAACTGACTGCTTATTTACTTTCTTTTCTCATCTACTGCAGCGGTGGATCCTGCTGACCTTTCTGCCTTTCTGAGGCAGGCTCCATTTCTTTCTTTCTTTTCTTTCCTTTTTTTTGAGACAGGGTCTCACCTGGGTTGCCTGACTGAAGTGCAGTGACACAATCACGGCTCACTGCAGCCTGGACTTTCCGGGCTCAAACTCCTGAGCAGTTGAGACCACAGGCGTTCACCACCATGCCCGGCTAATTTTTGTATTTTTTGTAGAGACGGGGTTTGACCACGTTGCCCAGGCTGGTCCAACTCCTGAACTCAGGCAACGCGCCTGCCTCGGCTGTCCTCCCAAAGTGCTGGGATTACAGGCATGAGCCACTGCGCCCGGCCTCAGGCTCTATTTCTTTTTAGAAATAATAAGACGAGAAAAATTAAGGGATAAATAAGTCTCCAATTATTCTGAACCCACAGCCCAGAACGGCTGCCCCGAAGTGACCAGAGAACAGGCAGGAAATGAGATTAGAAACAACTAGTGCCTGTGTCGCATAATGGGTAAGAGTCCCGGTTCTAGAACCGCGCTGTTTGGCTGCAGTCCCTGGCTGCACCAGTATGTTAGCTGTGTGACCTTAGAAAAGATATTTAACCTCTACGCTTGTTTCCTCATCTGTAAAAATGGCACTAATAGTACCTAACACTTACTTCATAGGAATAATGTGTAGATGAAATGAATTAGGGCCGGGCGCGGTGGCTCACGCCTGTAATCCCAGGACTTTGGGAGGCCGAGGTGGGCGGTTCACGAGGTCAGGAGCTCGAGACCAGCCTGGCCAACATGGTGAAACCCCCGTCTCTACTAAAAACACAAAAATTAGCCGGGCGTGGTGGTGGGCACCTGTAGTCCCAGCTACCCAGCTACTTGGGAGGCTGAGGCAGGAGAATCGCCTGAACCAGGGAGGCGGAGGTTGCAGCGAGCCGAGATCGCGCCACTGCACTCCAGCCTGGGCGACAAAGAGAGACTCCATCTCAAAAAAAAAAAAAAAGAAAAAAGAAAAAAGAAATTAATTAGTGCATGTAAAGCACTTGGAATAGCAAGCAGTCCATAAATACTTATCATAGCAGCACTCTTTCCCTAGGAAAGAGCTCCCTCTTCCATCACAGAATAACATCGTACATTTCTTCACTGTCCCCAAAGACACACACCTTCCTCAAAGAAAAGGAAATCACAAGGCCACGTCTTCCGAACCTCCCCAATAGATATGGCAGGGATTCCTAACCTGAGCTGGGGCAAGGTGGTCTGTTTGCTCCCCAAACCTGTGAAACGCGGGTTTCAGAACATCTGACTGACTGCAAACATAGGTCATATTTTTACAAGACTTTAGTCCACAAAACATTTTCGCTCTCAAACCTTCACTACATTCACAGAATGGAGAAGCCGAGGCCCAGAGAAAAACTAGTCATCTATCTGTCCAAAGTCACCGGACGAATTCTGGGGAAAGGTCGAGGGAACTAGAGCTCCCGACCCTGCAAATCCTAGAGGGTAAACTGGGGGCTAAGAAGGCCCCGTGCGTGTTTTGGCGGGCTAGGTTTTGGGCTTCAGGACAGAGAAGAGGGTCGAGTGGATCGCCTTGCCTTACCTCCTCAGGATCTCCGGACTCGGTAAGCATCTTTCGCTCGTCCTCCAGTCCCATGTCTGGCTACGGTTCTAGATTCAACAAGAGCAGCAACAGCGGCACCTAATCCACTTCAGGATCAAGAAGGACTTGTAAGGGTCACTCAGCGGAAATCCGGCGATCTGGCCGGAAGTGCGGCATACTCATCGTGGTCGCGAACACATGCTCAGATTGGCATGTACTACCGGCCACAGGCAGGGGCTAGGGGTAGCTGATGTTTGCACCTGAGGAGACTTTGCTAAGAAACATCCCCTTAGTCCCACCAGACCCAAGTATAATTGATCTAGGAGTTCATCTAAAATAGTAGCTCCTAAGAGACTTGGAAAGTATGCTAATTTATTCGAAATTCCTTTAGCATAATTCACATTCTTCCCCATATCGATTATGGAGCCGTCCTAACTGCTGACCTTTTCAAGATGGCGGTCTGCGGGCGACACTCTCGGGCTCGCGCACCTCCCCAAGATGGCGGCGCCCGAGGCCTGGCGCGCCCGGAGTTGCTGGTTCTGTGAGGTAGCGGCGGCAACGACCATGGAGGCCACGTCCCGGGAGGCGGCGCCAGCGAAGAGCTCGGCCTCGGGCCCCAACGCTCCCCCCGCCCTGTTCGAGCTGTGCGGGCGGGCGGTGAGCGCCCATATGGGGGTTCTGGAGAGCGGGGTGTGGGGTAAGTCGCGGGGTGAGGGGCTACCTCTGGCTAAGAGCAGGGGGCGGCCCAGCGGCCGGGGGGCGCGGGGGGCGAGGCCAGGAGGCCCGGTCTGGAGCGAAGGAGGCTGGGCCCGGGCGACTGAGGCTGGACTGGCGGGCCGGAGCTGTGGGCCGCGAACTGACACTCGGCTGGGCCGGGCAGGGGAGTCTCGGATGTCGAACCGGTGGGCAGTGATGGCCCGGCTGCCCTGGGGCAGGGGCCGAGGTTAGGAGGCCCGGCCTAAGGCCAGGAGGCCAGGCCCGGGGCCACCGAACCTGACTGATGGAACGGGACCCCCAGTATCTGCCTGACACGCCACAGGGGTCGAGACTCCGGAGGCCAAGCCGATGGGCGGAGGGGAGGACAGCGGATTTGAGAGCGAGGGAATGGGGCAGGGGGAGAGGCCGAAAGGCTCGGGGCGCCGCGGCCTGTCTGACGGCCCAGGGCTGACGGGAGCGAACCGACAACCGGGGTCTCGGGTGCCAAACTGACTGAGCGACCGAGCGACCCGCAGGACAGGGAGCGCCGGAGGCCACTCGGATCGGCTCGAGCGGCGAGGAGGGGCCGGAGAGCGAGTGGAGGGGGGCCCAGAGCGGCTTAAACAAGCGAGGGAGGCTCGAATGATGGACAGGCGGGAAGGGCCAAGGAGGCCCCAAGCGGGGCGACGGCCCGGGGATCCCGGACTGCCGGGCTGCCGTGGCAGGGGGCGCGGCGCCGCCAGGAGGCCTTGGGCTGAATGGGAGTGAACGGGGGCCTCAGGCCTGAGGGCGGCCGGGACCAAAGGGCCGGGCCTGGGTGGAGGGCGGCCTGGGGCGCCGGGATGAACGGCCGGGGAGGGCGAACCGGCCAGTTGGGCTGGGAGGCGGGGCTGTGGGTTGGGGACCGCCGGCCACGGCCTGGCCACTGACGAAGGAAACGGGTCCGCGACGTGGGGCTAGTGAAAGAGGGAAAGCGAGGCTCTGCCAAGCAGGCCTGGCCGCGCTGGGGATAGGGGAGGCCTCGGGCCTGCGAGGCTGCTGGTGTGAGGGTGGGGTCCGGAGGCCGGGGCTGGATTTGGGCGAGGAGGTGGCAGGCCCGGCCGAGGCCTGCCGGGGAGGGTGGCAGGAGAACAGGCCCCGGGCCTGGAGGCGGCGCGGGGGAGGTTCCACCAGGAGGCCTTGCGGGTGGCCGTGGCGTCTTTGCAGGAGGAAGGCCCTGGTCAGGACAGGAGTGAGGACTTTGAGGACTCGAGGTTGCAGGGCGGGGGGTTTGAGTTATGCCATGAGGAGGGGGTGTGGGGAAAAGGCCCTGGAGTTTGGGGGCGCTGCAGCTCCGGGATAAGCTGGAGGGTGGTCGGGGAGGGCCTTGGCTGTGGGAGTGGAGTCCAGTACGGTGAGGCCTGAGTGTCCTGCATAGTGGTGGTGGAAGAGGCTGTTAGAAGTTGGGCCTGTGTGCGGAGGGGACACTGGAGGCTCCAGGCCAGCCAGAGGCTGAGAAGACAAGGGGCAGGCCCACCCATGGCGAACATGAGGAAAGTCTCCGTTCTGAGCAGGGAGCTCAGAAAAGTCCTAGGGCATGGGGAAGAAGGCAGACAGGGTCTGGCTTGTCTGCCTGGAGCTTCTGGGATGCTAAGACTGGCTGAAAAGGAAGATGACTGGGTGTGGAGGCCCAGGTTGGGAAGCAGCAGCATTAAAGGTGCAGGCTAGAAAGAAGCCAGGAAAATCCCAGCTTAAGAAGAATGGAGAAAGGAAGAAAGGAGTTTGTGGGTGAGAGGGGATGAGAATTCCTGTGGCTGTGAGAAGGGATGGCTAACTAGAGGAGAGCAGGTTGGAGGGGCTCTGAGGAACTTCTTCCCCTGTTGCTTCTTCCCCCCAAAACAATTGACAGTTTACTGAATCTCCATTTCCCCTTCTCCCTTCCCCATCACTGCTGTACATACCACCATCCCATTACTGGCTGAGCCCCCAGCGAGGTTGAGAGGAGACAGGGGAGGAAGAGCTCCTGTGGGCCTAGACCAGAAAAAGCTGAATCAAGTGAGGCCTTTTAGGAGAATAGCCAAGGAAGAGGCCTGCTAAGCATTACTATTTTGGAGGAAGGTCTCAGTGTGGGCTAACAGCCAGGAAAGTCTTCCTGGAGGTAGTGAACTAGCATCGATTTGTGTAAGGAGTTGGGGCAGCAGAGGTATAGAGGCAGCAGGAAAGGGTACAATGAGGAAACTTAAGTAGAATAAGGTATACTATACCTTGAATACCAGGATGTGGAGTTTGGACTTTATCATGAATGCAGCAGAGAGACCTCCAAGGGTTTCGAAGAGGGTAATGTCATCACCAAGAGCAGGATGAAGAGGGACTGGATAGAGACTGAAGCGAAGGAGAGCAGTTAAGCTGTTGTAATAGACCAGATGAAAGGTGATGTGGACTACATTCGTGTGTAAAAGCATAGGGAATTAACACTTTCATTCAGCAGGTACATTGAGGACATACAATGTACAAAGAATTATACTAGATTCTTGATGTCAAGATTCAGTTATTCTGTAAATAAAAATAAAAAGAGACCCTGGGGCGGAAGTTTTGGTATACTCCAAGATCTTAGACTTGTTCTTTTTCTTTGAGATGGGGTCTCACTCTGTCACCCAGGCTGGAGTGCAGTGGCATGATACCAGCTCACTGCCACCTCTATCTTCTGGGCTCAAGCAATTCTCCCACCTCAGCCTCCCAAGAAGCTGGGACCACAGGTGTGCCCCACAACACCCGGCTAATTTTCTCTGTATTTTTGGTAGAGACAGGAGTTTCCCATGTTGCCCAGGGTGGTCTCAAACTCCTGGGCTTAAGCAATGTCCCCCACCTCGACCTCCAAAGATTACAGGGATTACAGGTGTGAGTTTGACTTGTTCTTGATTGGACAGAGATGCCACTGACAGGATAAAAATAACAACCAACATTTAGTGAGCTTATTATGGCTGGGCATTATTTTAAACAGATTATAAGCATGATCTTCCCAACAATATCATGAGTTAATTACTGTTATCTCCATTTTATTTTATTTTTGAGACAGAGTCTTGCTCTGTCACCCAGGCTGGAGTGCAATGGCGCCATCTCAGCTCACTGCAATCTCTACCTCCTGAGTTCAAGCGATTCTTGTGCCTCAGCCTCCCACGTAGCTGGGATTACAGGCATGCATCATTACACCTGGCTAATTTTTGTATTTTCAGTAGAGACGGGGTTTCACCATGTTGGTCAGGCTGGTATCAAACTCCTGACCTCAAGTGATCTGCCCGCCTTGGCCTCCCAAAGTGCTGGGATTACAGGTGTGAGCCATTGCATCCCACCTATTTTTTATTTTTTGAGGCAGGGTCTTGCTCTGTCACCCAGGCTGGAGTGCAGTGGTCTAAGCACAGCTCGCTGCAGCCTCAACCTCCTGGGCTCCAGCCTCAACCTCCTGGGCTCCAGCCATCCTCCCACCTTAGCTTCCCAAGTAGCTGTGACCACAGGTGCACACCATCACACTCTGCTAATTTTTGTTTTGTTTTGAGATGGGTTCTCACTCTATCACTTGGGCTCAAGTACAGTGGTGTAAGCATAGCTCACTGTAGCCTCGAACTCCCGAGCTTAAGCGATCCTCTTGTCTTAGACTCCCAAAGTGCTGGGATTACAGGTGTGAGCCACTGTGCGTGGCCTCCATTTTTTTCCAGTTGAAGAAACAGAGGCTTAAAGAGGCTTAAATAATTTGTCCAAGGATTCACATTTAACTAAATAGTTAGGATTTCACCCAGATTTTTCCTACTCTAGAGGCCAAACCCTTTAGACACTATACTATAACAGCTCTTAGAACTAGAGAAGTTGGCAAGAGCAGGTTGTTTTTAAGATATGTTGACTTTTGGCCGGGTGCAGTGGCTCACGCCTGTAATCCCAGCACTTTGGGAGGCCGAGGCAGGCGGGTCACGAGGTCAGGAGATCGAGACCATCCTGGCTAACACAGTGAAACCCCGTCTCTACTAAAAATACAAAAAATCAGCCGGGCGTGGTGGTGTGCGCCTGTAGTCCCAGCTACCCAGGAGGCTGAGGCGGGAGAATAGCATGAACCCGGGAGGCGGAGCTTGCAGTGAGCCGAGATCGCGCCACTGCAGCCTGGGCGACAAAGCGACACTCCGTCTCAAAAAAAAAAAAAAAAAAAGATATATTGACTTTAGAGACATGAATTGTTCCTCTTCTTCATAGGAAAGTACTAATTCAGGATATAGCAGTAGCCCAAAGGATGGTAGTGGTTAATCTGGAAGAATGGGAAGGGAATTCAGGAAAGACTTAATAAAGGGCATGTGATACTTGAAAGATGAGTAGTTGATATACTGAAAGTGGCAATGACATTCCTATTAGAACAGCATGACAAAGGACATTCCTGTTGGAAAGAACAGCACGACAAAGGTACAGGGGCAGAAAGCAGCATGTTAGGTAAACGAAAAAGTAGTTAAGTATGGCTGAAATGTAGGAGGCAAAGCAGGGAGCTGATACTAG